TTTATCTTTACAGATATTTTGTATGACTCGTGGTCGCCGGCTATGACTGTTAGTTCGATTTGCATCAGCATTCTCTCCATGTTATCGAGCTCGCCTGCCAAGGTTTGTTCACTTTAAATTGCAACTCTTTTGGTTCTTGCACTAGACCATGTTTGGATGTGCTTAAAATTTGCTACTTTTGGAAAGTAAAGATGTCCTTTATTATATAAAAGTAAGTTTGGTTAGTAAATTTTTTTTTTTTTTTTTTGAAAATCATGTTTGGCACACGAGTCGACTTAAAAGTTAAGTTTTTGCAACAATCTCTTTGAACCTAGAAGGTTAATCTTCTGAGTTGTTTTTCCTGCAGCAACGTCCGACAGACAATGATCGCTATGTGAAGAACTGTAGGAACGGAAGATCTCCGAAGGAGACGAGATGGTGGTTCCATGATGATAAAGTGTAATATCTTAATTAGCTGAATCCCATAACACCATCTCGTGAATGGGTTGTCACTGTTGTATTTCTTCCCTTTGGAAAAGAGTAGGGACTGAAAATACTGTGAAAAAGTAAAAAAAAAAAAAAAGAATCCCTTTTAATTTCAATTACTCTAAATGACATGAAGGCATCAAAAGAAACGTTTAAAAGCTGCTGCGGGCTATTATGCCAAAAGAGGGCTGGATTATTAAGTGATTTTAAATTAGGTAAATGTGCTTTCCCTTCGCCAAATTTGTGATTATCTGAGATTGAATTGCCTTTTTAGAAGTTGTTTAGTCAGTTAGTATTTATAGTTATGCTATGGATGATCTGACTCGGTTCAGTTCACTTGGTGATCATTGAATCCATATTTATATACGCTACCCAGGATTAGATAGAAATATGACAATTTCTTTTCTTTTCTTAATTCTATTTAGCACTTTTCTAGTACAGCATACCCAAATATGCTGTGACACGTGATTTGGAAGTTAACGTTTTGTGGTTTTTGGTTGAAGGGTGAAGTAAATTTTGAAAAATCTTCTGTTCTATTGATGCGTCGAGGTCGAGAAGAATGGAAAAGCATGATATGTTTTTTGTGGAATAAAGGTTGAGAAGTGTTGGAACATATGAATCAAAGGTTTCATTGGATTGGAATGATCTTTTGTTCTTGTTATATCATACAGGAGTGGATATCTTTTGTTCAATGATTCAATGGAACAATACATTTATCATGGATTTACTTTACACAATTTCAAAAATACAAAAACAAGTTCCAAATTTTAAAAATCAGGTTTTTCAATTTTTTATTTATGAAATAATAAATTATTAAATTAATTTATTATTAAATATTTAATTCTAATATAACATAAATACTACACCTCCCCTCCCCCTCCACCACCCCTACCGTTCCATTCTCAACTCTTCTCCGGCGATCGTTCCGACGATCGTTCCGACTACCACTTCGGTTTCAACGACTATTTCGATGCTCGTTCCGTCGCCATTTATTCCAGGGATTGTTCATATTCTGGCCAGTGTTCCAACTTCGACGAATATATTAAGGTCACATATCTATGCGATTTGGTCACAGTTCAAAAATTTTTAAGTTTTTAAGTCACAATTTAAAATTTTCATAGGTCACAATTTGTTCATCGGTCACAAATTAAAAGTTTGAAAGTCACAATTTGTTTATCAATCACAAATCACAAAATTTATAGGTCACACAATTCATTTTATGATCTCAAATAGAGATGTCAAGACGGGCGGGCCGACCATGACCCGTGAACCTCGGCCCGTGAGAACCGGGACTGCGGGCCGACCCGAGATCCGTGCGG